AAGTAGGGGACCTGCCGGACACAACTATTTTTAGAAAATTAGGTGCCGGTCAGACACATGCTGTGGTAGGACTCCACTAGAGGGTTCTAGTGCAGATAATGTTTGCCTAATTGATGAACGGGTCAGACGTCGATGAGGAGAGAGTTGACGATGCAAGACTGACACGTTCGGGATCACGAAGGATCCCGCACGTGTTCCAGGCCCTAGAACCGGGAGAAGAAAGACGACTTCGTGCCGAACACAGAGCCCGTGCACTAGCAGCAGCTAGGGAAACAGCGAACGCCGCAGCTAGGGAACAGGCTGCAGCAGCAGCCAGAGCAGTAGCCATGTCTTCTGCAGCAGCATCCTCGGTTGCGTCCTTGTCTGGGACCAATGGGACCATGTTGGGAATGCCCACAGGGTCCCCGGGTACTTCCAGTTCAGTAGGGTCTCGGCAGTCTACAAGTCAAATGGCGGGCTCGCAGTTCAGCCCGTTGACTCCTCGCGAAAGGGAGCTTCTAGAGCTCAAACAGGTCGAAAGGATCCGTGAACGATTAGAGAGGGAACTGAAACAGGCAACCGATAGAGAAAGAGAGATCAAAAATAGAACAGCCAGGCTTGAAACGTTAGAGGCAGACAAAGCTGAGTTAGAGGGTTTGGATGAGTCAGGAGTGTATGACTCAATGAAAACATTGAGGAACAATATGTTGTCGCTGCATGCGCACGTGGACAACCGATTGGACTTTATGCAGAACACTCTAGACCAGATCCTGGACATTTTGCAAAGGCCAGGATACAGGCCACTAGCACAGTCGCCGTTGCCGTTAATGGTGATGTCTGGCCCCTTTCCCATACAAGCTGGCACACAACCAAGTGGCACGTCTGCAGCAACTGCACAGACTGTTGCTTCTTCTTCTTCGGGTCCAGCGGTGGGAGCTACACCACCGCAACAACCTGTTGCTCAACAGGGACAGCCGCAAGGTCAATGGTATCCTAAGACCCCGATGAAACCGCCTCTTGCCTTCTCAGGCGAGAGGAAGGACGGAGAACTCAACACTTGGTTGAGAACAGTTCCGGTTTGGGTGAAGGCAAAGAGGCCAGAGAACGAAGTGGTTACTGTTGCATCTTACCTCGAGGGTAAGGCAGCCAAATGGCTAGATGGTATAGTAACAAAGGCCAGGTATGGACGACGTATGGCGGACAGGGCTAAGTCTATTACGTTAGACCAGTTCTTTGAGATGGTAGAAGCTCGCTGGCACAATCCTCAGCAGACACAAATGGCCACTGATGCGATAAACAGACTAGATCAAATAAAGTTCAAGTCAGTCAGAGAGCTTACGACTACCGTGGGAAGTCTCATCGTTGTCCCCGGCATCAACTACGACAACCAGTTCCTTTTCACAACCTTTGTTAGATGTCTTCCAGAGAACCTCAGGAACTTGCTGGCCAGCGAGGCTCGCCTCGAGTACCACTCGTTTGAGACATTGTTTAGAAAAACCTTAGACTTAGAGGCTACACTAGGGAATGCTCAACCCACTCAGAATGACGCGAGGAAGAAGAAGAGTCCGCAGGAATGGAAAAAGAAGGGGGCCAAGTTGATGATGGTTGAGTCTGATGGGACTCAAACAAAAATTGATGAGCTCACAGACCTGCTGGACGGTTCAGAGTTTGACGGCGAGGAGATTGCTGAGGGTAGCACCCTCGCCGCAGTAGTCAAGGCTAAGGCGGGTGACCGAGGGAAGGGCCATCCAAAGAGTCAAGGGAAGGCCACCTCCAATCAGACCAAAGTGGTTGATAGGGTCAAGGCAGGTTTTGATCAAGACGTGTGGCGGGACCGCCAAGTGCGTGGCGCTTGTATAAATTGTGGTGAATACGGACACACCCCGTACAAGTGCCAGAACGCAAAGGTCACGCAGAAGATACCTCCCAAGATGGGGGCATCTTCTTCCCAAGCTTCTAGCTCGGGAAACACGTGAGKCCGGTGGAAGTTTTAGTTGCTTCTACTCAGGGTGAAGTGGGCCAGATACCCTCCCCACTTCGTGAGAAGGCCATAGCCAATGACTCTTTAGTCACCCCGCAGACTAATCTAGACCAAACTATGCTCTGTACGTTAGATGTGTCTGAAGCCTTAGAAGATCTGGAAAGCGAGTGGTCAAACAAGGACCCTCGCGAATCTTGGGTGGCACTAAAGAACGGTCCTAGAGGGGAACATTTCGTGGTGGAAGTCGATGTAGGAGGCCGCAAATGTGGTGCCTTCATAGACATAGGCTCCACGTGGAATTACGTAAGTCGCGACTGTTTGGAAAGGCTGCACCTACAGGACCGGGTACAGCACCTTAGTAGACCTGTAGCATCTACTTTGGCCAACAAGGAGCGCATGATAGTCACAGACTATATCAAGGACGTAGTCTGTACCTTCTCCTATGGAGGAGGAGAACTTAATCATAAGATTTCGTTCTTGGTTAGCGACGACCTACCATTCGATATGTTGTTAGGCATGTACTACCTTGAGGTTGCTAAGCCCCAGTTCGACTGGGATAAGAAGGTGCTAAAGCATAAGTTGCCCGATGGCAGGACAGTCAGATTGACTAGGTATGTCTCTGAGAAAGGGGAGGCCGTTAAAACACCCCCAGAGATAGAACGCGTCGTTGCTAAGTTCCCTGATCTGTTCGAAGAGCCGACATGAGTTGTAGAAAGGGAAGTTGTCCACGCTATAGAAATCATTCCAGGGAGTAAAACCCCAAAGGGAAGGATCTATAGCATGGCTCCTGCCGAGTTAGATGAACTTCGGCGACAACTGAAAGAGATGACAGAGAAGGGATGGATCCGGCCTAGTACTTCCCCTTACGGATCGCCAGTACTATTTGTATCAAAGAAGGGGGGTACATTGAGGATGTGCATTAACTATAGAGGCCTCAATGCCATCACAGTGAAGAACGCAGAGCCTCTACCTCGCATAGACGACCTACTGGATAGGGTGCAGGGATGCAAGTACTATACAAAGATAGACTTGAAATCCAACTGTCATCAGATCGCTATAAGACCTGAGGACCAACACAAGACAACTTTTCAAACTCGATATGGTCTGTATGAGTTTGTAGTGATGCCCTTTGGTCTTTGCAATGCGCCGGGAACATTCCAGCACACCATGAATCGGATCTTCCATGACCATTTAGATAAGTTTGTCGTGGTTTACCTTGACGACATTTTGATCTTCAGTAAGTCTGCCGAGGAGCATGCACAGCACGTTGAGACTGTACTTTCACTCCTGCGACAGCACAAGTATAAGGTCAACCTAGAGAAGTGTGAGTTTGGTCGCACTAAGATATTATACTTGGGTCATGTAATATCCGCGGAAGGGATTAGGCCGGAAGATGCGAAGGTGGCTAGTATTCGAGACTGGCCACGGCCTCAGACTGTCACTGAGGTCAGATCTTTCTTAGGAATGTGCGGCTACTATAGGAACTTCGTAAAGAACTATTCTACAGTCGCCTCTCCTTTGACGGATCTAACTCGACTTGACACGCCGTGGGACTGGGGTGATGAGTGCGAGGGTGCTTTCAAGCGATTGAAGCATGCACTCATGAATCATGAAGTTCTCATGGTTCCCGATCCTCAAAAGCCATTCATAGTAACCACTGACCCAAGCCAATACGACATTGGCGCAGTGCTGGCTCAGCAGGATGGGAAGAAGTTGAGACCGATTGAGTACATGAGCAAGAAAATACCATCGAAGAAATTGGCAAAGTCCACCTACGAAAGGGAACTCTATGCTCTCTACAAGGCACTTGTCCATTGGAGACATTTTCTGTTGGGACGGTTCTTCTACTTGAGAACTGACCATCAGACGCTCAATCGGATCAAGACTCAACCGGCTCTTTCTGATGCACTCAAGCGATGGATTGAGGTCATAGATCAATATGACTTCAAGCTTGAGTATCTGAAGGGAGAGTACAACAAGGTTGCAGATGCGCTATCACGTAGGGCAGACTACCTAGGGGCGCTAGTTTCTGACTTTGGTGTATCGGAAGAAGTAACTTAATCGTTGGTGGGAGCCTATCAGGAAGACCCGGTCACGATGGACATCATGCGCAAACTTCTGGCAAAAGACAAGGCCACGGAAAGTGAGTTTGTGATGGTGGACAGGCTGCTCTACCTTGATAAGGCTGGTGTTAAAAGGTTAGTAGTTCCATCTAGTGAACGTTTGCGTAGTTTGTTTTTAGGAGAATGCCATGACGCAACCGGACACTTTGGTTACAAAAAGACGAGTGTTAATCTAGTATAGCGATTTTGGTGGCATGGAATGCTAGATGACGCAAAGAAGTATGTAGAGACTTGTCAGGTCTATCAGCGGGACAAGCCGCGAACTCAAGCACCGCTTGGGTTGCTGAAGCCCTTACCTATCCCCGCTGGTCCAGGACAAAGTGTCTCCATGGATTTCATGGATACCCTGGTGACCAGCAAGAGTGGCAAGAGGCACATCTTCGTCATCATTGATCGATTCACCAAGTACGCTAGACTAGTTGCCATGCTAGAGACCGCAAGGACTGCCCATGTCATCAAGTTGTTCATGGACAACTAGGTGCGTGATTTTGGACTTCCGAAGTCAATCGTTAGTGACAGAGATGTCCGATTCACAAGTGAGTTGTGGAAGACGACTGCTGAGCAGATGGGCAGTCAACTTCAGATGACTTCAGGGAATCATCCCGAAGCCAACGGACAGGCCGAGCAAATGAATAGAGTTGTACAGCACTTGCTGAGGCATTACATCAAGCCCAGCTAGGATGATTGGGATGAGAAGTTGCCTCTCATCGCCAGCCTGTACAACAACGCTGTACACAACAGTACCGACGTTAGTCCTAACCAGCTGCACTTGGGATGGAAGCCTAGATCTGCTCTAGACTTCCTCCTACCTGAAAACCGATCCTCTGCAACTCCAGGCACACTTGAGTATGGTGTGCAGTATGAGAAGTTGCTGCAGCAAGCTGTCAAGCATATCAAGAAAACTCAGCAAGCAATGATTGCTTCTGAGAACAAGCATCGACGACAGTCCTCATTTCAGGTAGGGGAACGTGTCTGGGTCAAGGTTAGTGAGCTAGGACAGGAATTCGGTATCTCTAGAAAACTAATGCCTCAGCATTTTGGTCCCTGGGAAGTCCTGGATATAGTGGGGGATGAGATGGATGGTCCTACCTATGTTATCCGTATCCCTGGACGCCTACGCACTTACCCCATCTTTCATGCCTCAAAGCTTGCACCTTTTGCTGAGACTGATCAATTCCCTTCAAGGAGATCGATGCTGCCCCCAACCATGGATGGTCAAGTGGACATCGACGACATTGTGGATCACAGAGATCTGCCTGTTCAGAAGCCATTGGGTAGAGGAAGACCTCCTAAGCCCAAGAGAGAGTATCGCTTCAGATTCAGGCATCATACGGATCCAAAGGAAGATCGGTGGTTCACCAGAGAGGAACTGATTGACACAGCTCCTCAGGTGGTGGCAGAATATGAAAGGAACTTGAAAGGGAAGGCACCTGCGAAGTAAGCATCTCAGCGGACTTTCGAAGCTAAGTGGGATGGAATGTGAGGATTAAGCCCTCAAGAAGGGGCCTTGCCATGGTGTACATGTTCTGGGCTAAGGCCCCAGCAAGCCTAGTGCCCGCCCTAAGTGAAGGCGGGCCAGTAAATCAACAAGAGCCCTCTGTGCAAACATTTCACGAAGTGGGGTCCATACAGTTGCRGCAAGCCAGTTGGTTGGTGTGCACCAAGTATCGGAGCTCTGCAAATGCAGAAATCCCAGGGCCCCGAGTTGGTTAGGCCCTGGGCACATAAACGTGAGGCCGACAATGCATGCTGGATATAGAGGCCGGAAATGCCAAAGGGAAACCGGTCCACTATCTGAATCTGGCCGCAGGCCTTGACGAAAGAGGCGCAACTGCATCTCCTGGGCC